CCCCCCCCTCGTCTCGAGACTGCGCTTCCCGTAAGCTACATGTTGTCGAACCATTGTGAATAATAATTCCTCAGCAAGGCGTTACGTGACGTTTACTTAGAGATTGGGCCCATCTGGACTGTTTGACTGACTAAACAACAGTCGTTTTATCAATCACAATCTCTGAGTTTTTCAATTATTTGTTAGGTGCTCGTCAATGGGCTCAGGACACGTTGCATAAACATGCAGAAGACAAGCGTGATGTGGCCTTCACCAGGGCACAGTTGGAAAGTTCCGAAACCACTGATGATTTGTGGAATGCTGCTCAGAGGCAACTTGTGCAAACAGGGAAGATGCATGGATTCCTACGTCAATACTGGGCTAAAAAGATACTGGAGTGGTGTGCAGACGGTCCTGAAGTTGCAATTCAGTGGGCAATCTACTTAAATGACCGGTACAGTCTCGATGGAACGGACCCTAATGGTTACGTCGGTAGGTTTGCTGGACACTGTTAACACTACTAAATCGGTATGGTGTCTAGTATTCTAACTTTGGCTTCGAGTGAAGTGCTGTTTTAAAGCACGAAACATGGCCAAGTTTCTCTCTTGTCCCTCAGTACATTTCCCCACCTACAGCTAACGGACTGTATGAGGAGACATCGTCCTGTAGGTGCCGTTAGTTAGTCTATGTCGAAAAACCGAGAAGGAGCACGAAACTTGGCCAAGTCCCTCTGTTGTCCTTCAGTACATTTCCTCACCTATAGCTAACGGACTGTATGAAGAGACATCGTCCTGTAGGTGCAGTTAGTTAGTCTATGTCGAAAAACCGAGAAGCATTGTAAGTCTCTTCATCATCAGTACACATCTTACAGTTCGCCAGGGCGATTCGAACCCACGACTTGGCTGATAGCTGGTGATTAAACCGTTTGGCCACAAGCGTCTGATCAGCAGTGTGATTAACTCGCTCGTGGATAGGGCTATGGTCCCACAAGTCTGTACAATACTTCTCAGTTTTCCGGTATAAATTGATTTGACCTAAAGGTTGAAATCTTTACTGAGATCTACTTAGTTTTCCAAGTAGTATCAAAACCACTCACAGTATCCCTGTTTCTCATGGAAGTACGTCATTTGAAGTGTTAGTTATTGGTTTCGTTGTTGGCTTGCTCCTAAGTGTCACCCCCTTTCGTTTTTGAAATGGTGACTATGTCTCCTAAGGTGAAACACTACAAGACAGTGTCCTTCAGCGGTAGAGTGATCAACTGTCTTTTCCATAAGCACCGTTGTTCCCGTACCCTGCGAAACTAATAAGTTCCTATAGAGCAGTGTTTTCCAGCCATGGTTCAAGACTCCTGGGTCGTTCGACAGGCGTTCCGCAGAGTTCATTGAGTTCTTTGCTATTTCAGTTGAGGGAGTAGTTTCAGGGCATCACTAAGAAAAAGCACCACATGACTGTTCAACAAGCTATAGATTCCTTACAATTATCTCGCTGGATACGTAACTGAATGTGCCACATGATGCACCGTAACAAGTCGTTCCTAGCAAGACATGGCTATTCAATTTCACACCACTTTGTGCTACGTGCATTTCGTCAAATCCTCGATGGATAAATTCCATTCAACTCCTGTTATCCACCATGCCACGTCTAATCTCTCCGCATCTTTCGTACTTTTCGGCTGATCAAGACTATTCCGAAAATTTCCCGGAGTTTTTTTGGACTGGTGATCGCTTTCTTAACTCGCTATTCGTTGCATATTCCGCTTGGTGACTTTCTAATATCGTGTTATGTTGATGTGTATCGACCACCCTTTCACAGGAATAATGTGGGCCATTTGTGGTGTACACGATCAGGGTTGGCCTGAACGTCGGATTTTTGGCAAAGTGCGCTACATGTGTTACAACGGTTGCCGACGTTGGTTCTCTGTGCCCACTTTTGTGTCCCGCTTTTCCGATGCCTAACTGTTGTCGCCTCGTTCATTGTTTTCTTTTATTTCCTGCGCCACATTTATCCGGACAGTATCCCTCCGCACAAAACCTTTCATGATTTGACATGTGTCTATTTTTTTTTCAGAAAGAATCGCATTTATATTAAACTGGTTGTACTTGATCAACGTTTGTACGCGCACGCCTCTCAGGTGTATTTTTATTCTATTTATATTATAAAACATCTCAGGACCTTTTAACCTCCTCTTCATTGGACCAAACAATTCCGGGGTTTCCGCTCCAGTACAGGCATTGTTATTGGCTTAAATGTCCGATCACTGAAGCCTGTGCGTCTAGTTTGGCTCACTCAAAACTGATCGGATGCACGACAGCCTCAGCGGGCCATTGCTTGCATCAGACGCACGTCACTTTGGATTAGCCCCTAGTGAATTCCGCCGCCTATTAAGATCCTATTGATGATATGCAGAATCTGACGGTCCTACAGGGAAAGTTTCTAGTCAAAAATCTGATGGTTCAAGTGTTGCGGGCAACGTTTTTTATGGATTTTTACATTCAGTTGAATACGAGTCAAGGACAGATTTATCCGGGTCCGTTATCGTGTTCTCCGATTAATGTTCCTAAGGCCGATTAGCAGTCCGATGTGGCTAGCATGTGTCTAAGTGTGTGGGCTTATGGATTCTCACTGGGAGTCTGTGCTTGGTGTTAGCAGATAGCTTGCGGTCCAGTCTGCTCACTCTGAGTTGCCATCGTGAATTCTAAACCGCTGTGTTGTTTGTCAAGGCCATTAAAGAAGGCTTGTCGCTGTGCGACTGGTATGATCGTAAATATGCCGTCAACGCATCTCAGCCAGGTGCACAGTGGATAAACCAAGGTACCTTGAAAAAACTACATACTCAGGTAGATACTTGTATCATCAGTCTTCGCATCCACGCTACGTCAAACGCGCATTTGTTGGACAAAAAATTATGCTCGGACGAGTCCGTACGAACAGATGATCTGAAACCAATCAGTATGGTATTCATCATCATCACCATCAAAGACAGCAACATCAGTGTTGCCACTGATGCTTCACTGCC